AGTGCTCTTGTCCTGAAAAACTAACGAGACTGTGTTTCTCTATAAAAAGGGAGATCCGGACGATATTGGCAGTTATCGCCCAATCTGTCTGCTGTCTGTAATCTATAAGCTTTCGTGAGCTGGAATCTGCTTCGTGTGCTCTACGAGGACTTTAAGAGCAGGACTTAACCACTCTACAAATAGTCATTATCAACGTGAAGAGAGGCGTCCGGTAGGGTGATACCATTTCGCCCATACTCTTCAGCGCCGTTCTCGAGAATATCATGCGTCATATGGAGTGGGAAGACCTGGGAGTGGAGGTCGACGGCCGCTTCCTTCATCACCTCCGCTTCGCAGACGCATCGTGCTTATAACACCGAACATCGAGCAGGCGGAACGAATGCTGGCCGAGTTTGATAGTGCTTGAGGAAAGATCGGCTTGAGACTGAACTTATCGAAGACGAGTTCATGAAAAACGGATGGTACCTGATGCTCCCTCCTCGCTGAATGGAACGAATATCTCCGCGTGCTTTAACTGTGTGTACCTAGGACGGGAAGCCAACATGATGAACGATCTAGCTCCGGAGCCGAGCACAGGGAAACACGTGGAGTGGGAAGCTTTTAAGAATAGCAAGGGAGTGGTGCAGAAAACAAGACATCCGGCTCCGCGGTCACCTTTTCGACACTGCTGTCCTTCCCGCTTCGACGTACGCCTCGGAGACTTGGATTCTACAAAAGCAGGATGAGCATGCTGTCAGCGTTACTCAACGCGCTTTCGAGAGGACGATGCTCGGAATTTCCCTACACCGCAAGTGCAGAAGGGAATCTGAAGTTCCTAGCTCCGCCATCGAACAGAGATCAGGGATGCCGTTGATTACGCCAAGAAATCGAAGATCAGGTGGGCCGGACGCGTTATGCGATATAGTGATGACCGTTGGACCAGGGTGGTTACTGACTGGATCCCTAGGGACCTGAAACGAACACCAAGACGGCCGCCGGCCCGATGATCAGACTTCTTCACGAAAGCTCTGAACAAAAGGAATGTTTCGCCCCTTGTCCTCGAGCGAGTACCATCCGTTGAACCACTCTGGCTCGTGACAGGAACGAATTGAGTCGTTACTGGCGCCCGCTCGAGGACATCTACGATCAACGGGACGACAAGTAATACAGGTGATGTAGCCGATTATCCGTGTTAAGGCTGTTACATCAGGTGCCGTACGGTCAGGGGGGACGGTCAAGTCGTGCGTCCGAGCGTGCGCGCGGCAAATTTCGCGGCGAAATTCATACCTATTCTGACGACTTTAGCGCCTATTATTTGGGCCCAATTTTGAAGTACAGTAGAATAGCAGGATCAGCTGACCTTGCTAATCTACCCTACTTCAGATTTGGGCCCTAATGATAGGAGCCGGAGTCGTCCAAATTCGCCACCAACTTCGCCGCGCAATTTGCCGCGCGCCCCCTCGGACCCACGACTTGACACACACCCTACGGTCAGTGAATTGGTCAGAATACTTACTGCTGCTTTGTCTGTAATTGCATACAATGCTGCGTAATCGGCGTGAGATTTCGTATGCTTGAACACAAGCAGTAAGATCGCCTTGATTGTATTTGTCTCCCCATTTTCTTCATCGTCTAAAGCGACGATAAACGAGAATAAGGTAATTTAGCCATATGCAGAGAATCGGTGTGTCACGCGCATACCGATGTGGATTGAATTGAAGTTTTTAAATTATTTATTGTGAACAAACCTATGCATTTGCCATTTACCTCATGATATTTCCCCATATCGTTATAATCCTTCGCTGCAAATGCTTCGCAACATTCGGTTGTCTTATGGTTCTTTACAGTTATCGCTGCTTTGTATTGTAATTGTCGGTCAATTTGTCCGTTTTCCCGCCAACTGTGATTCGGCTTTCACTTTTCTTCTTTTCCTTCTCAGTCTCTATCTTCACTTACAGTATTCAATGTTAGTAAAAGTCAGTGTTGGCTCAAAGTCTTTCCCGATAGAGATAGGAAAGGAAGATGGTTCGATCTCAACGCTGGGAGAGCTGAAAAGTCATATCTCCAAGGAAGCCAATATAGAATCTTCCTGTATGAAAATTATCCATAGAGGTGAGCTTCAGTTTCTGCTTGCAATTGTTTGTACTCGATCACCCACATGCATTCTTCCATTGTAATTTACCTCAACCAGTTGTGCCTTATTTCAAAGTTCATACATCGCGCTGGCTGATGGGTCGAAGACGAATAGATTATTGGTGAGAAATCATTGTCGCTATTGCAAGGTCGACGACACATGCAGATAGGATTCAGCCTTAGTCAAGTGCCCAAATTTGCCTGAACTGCTTCATTTTCTTTCTGCTCTTTTTGTATATCAATTGACCACTGTTTTTGCACTGTTAGGTTTGCATTGAGTATGACTTTGTTTGATAGCTTCCTCTCAAATGAAGACTACCAACCAATCAAAAGGAAACGGGTATGAAGTGTTACGCGAAAAATAGCAGAGCAGAACCAGCATGTTTGAACGATTTCAATGCGTAGAATTCTAGCTTCTCAGTCATTGGCCTGTGAGTTTCTCAAAGAGGTCAACCTCTTTAATCCATCCCCTTTTGTCCATCAGTCAGCACATATGGACTCGGCACTGGCTGCTGTAAATCATGAAACGTTGAAGTGGTTCTAGATTATCCTGATAGTTAATGTCTCTTTTGCGCAAGCCGTTTTATACCGGGTTCGAAGGCAGCAAACTTAGTCGTGAAGTTGGTAGAGAGAATTAATTTCAGTAACGGAAAACGCACAGCAATTATTTACTTCTAAGAACAACTTGAAAGCCTTCCAAGTCGGGGGAAGGGGGCAGAAGCATAGTAAATAGGATTTATCGTGGAACTTGGTGACATTTGCGGCTATCTAGAAGGTGAAACATCCTTTAGGGCTATGAATGCTACTCCACTTTCTTCTTAATGTCCTACTTTTCCTATACACCTAAGCACCTACCATATTTTTTGTTTGCAGGGAAGACTATTACCGGTGAGGACGATCTCTCTTTAGTAGATATGAACTTCAAAGAGAATGACAAAATATTGATTATGGGGAAGGTGTCAACATCATTGAAGGTTTGTCGATTTGGTAAGGATATTACGGATTTCTGATGGAAACTACTACACTTTGTGCATTGTTTTTTTTTTGTTGGAAGCCACTGTGCCGCATTGCTAATGTTACGGTTTTTTTGGTTTCGTATCATGGTTGTAACTTTTATAAAGGATGGTGCTTCCTGCGTTTATAACAGCAACAAGTGAGCTGATGCTGTTATAAAGCATCCTGTATAACAAAGCCTACAAAGTAAGAGTAGGTCTGAGGCGAGGAACAAAGCATAGCACTTTTCTTTGAGACTTTCGAGAGTAATTCTGACCATTGTGCGAATTCCGAGCATGTCCTTTCTACAGCGCGTTCGTCCTGCTTCCGTAGTGTACAAGTTATCGAGGCATATTTCAAAGTAGGAAGGATCGCGGCCGAATGTTCTTTGTTTTCTTCACTGCTCCCCTGGTATTCTTGAAGGTATTCCCACGTCTCTCAATTCCTTCTGCTCAGCTCCGGAGCTAAATCGTTTAGTATGTAGACATCTCGACTTAGATTCGAGAAACGAGACCATTCAGAGATATTCTTTCCGTTTGTCGTAAAAGATTGACTCATCACTCATTTCGCGCGGGTTCGAGAGTCTTCGAAGAGAGAGGTCTCTTGGCAACCTATGCGCTCGGTGTTTTTCTAGCACTATAGTGAAGAGACTTTCGTAGAGCAGATTATCTTCCACATTAGCCGGCATTGTCGATGACGATATCTCCCCATGAATTCGCAAGGGAAGCGCTTCCAATTTATGATGGTTTAGGACTTCATTTCCTATACTTCGCAGCTCCCATTCCAGGGGGCGCACGATTCACGCGTGACCCCATTAGAGCTCTTCGCGCACGCAGCATCGTTTCAGTACCTTTCTGTTGAGATGGACCAAATAAATTGGCAGTAGTCCACTGCTTCACCATGAATAGAGCAAATCTTTTACTATGGCAAAAAGGCCTATTCGAGTTTGAGAATTCACCTCATATGTCAACAATTTACTTGTCAAATGTTCTAAATAAGAATAACTTCAAATTCTTTGATCCTAGAAGATGCAATGCTTCTGTAAACGTACATAACGTAAATAGTTGGTTATTTATTTACTTATTCTACTTATAAGTCATTATTTCTTCCGTTATGATGGTAGGCATGATGTTTTAGCACGTTTTGTCCG